TCAAAAAGACTTCTTTTCTACTAGTAAAAGGTTGTAGAGGTGTTGAAAAGTCGATTTATTTTTTTTATATTTTACATAAGTTAAAAACATAATTCTAGTGTAAGTGATGTTATCATTACTCCTTGAAGTTAGCTTTTATACAAACATCTGGTGTTCCTTTAAAAAGCTTAAGTATGGGGTGAAACATGTATTACCAGCCAATAATAGATGAACATTAGATAACTGTAACACGTAGATACTCAATGCTTTGTACACTATACAATTGGTGTCTTTAGGGAACCAACCTCTATATTATGTATGAAATGAAGGAGTAAAAAAAAATCAATACACACACATAAAATTAAATTTTATAACATGCATCCATAGAATAATTAATTTAAAAGACACTAAGGTTTATTTAAGGCGATTTCTTAGACATATATTATATTCAAAAAGACTGCTTTTTCTACTGGTAAAATTTTATACATGCTTAATTAATGGGTTTTGTGTCTTAGTCTAGACATATATTTGTTCATTGCTATGCATTATACATAGAGAATTTAGTTACACGGAAACTATAAATGCTCACTGTATTCTCAAACAAATCTCCATGACAATCTCCAGCTGCAGCTTTACATTTTGCATCTTGAACTAATGTAATCAAATAATCAATAGCTACAATAAATCATCATGAACCATATCAGTTAGCTACTAGCTATTTTTATTATCAATACAATATATGAAGTTAGCTACCATATCAAGTAATCCTTTAGTAACGGGTTATGGAACGTTGTCTGTCTGGTTGAGGTCGTGTATATATTAGGTCGTCAAGATATTAATGTCACTTATTTTTAGATGAAAAACCCAAACAACTTTTATATCAAAACAAAACATTTATTAAATGAAATAGTCTCCATTCTTATCGATGATGCTTTTCCATCTTACAATCAGGTAGTTGATGCCCTGATTAATGGAATCACTTGGCTTTGAAGCAAAAAACATGCTGATGTCCTCTTTAACACCTTCCACATTTACATACGTTTTCCCATTAAGATGGTGTTGCAGCAATTGAAAAAGATGTTAATCTGATAGTGCCATATCTGGATAATATGGTGGGTGGGGGAGAACTTCCCAACCCAACTCCACAGTCTTGTGGTGCATCAAACGTGCCACATGTGGACGTGCATTGTCGTAGAGAAGAAGAACACTTTTCCGATGCGGATGAAGTCCAGGTTTTGGGGTCGGAAGTGGTTTTTGTCTAGGACTGTGCCATTGTTTTGGAGTTTAATATTCACATAGTGAATCAATTTTTCATCACCATTGACAATTCTGTCCAAAAATGGTTCATGTGCATTACACACCAGAAGAGACAAAGCAACATATTGGAAACGATGATCATTGGAGAGTTTGTGAGACACTCAAACACCTTTATGGAGTTTTCCATATTCCTTAGATGTTGATGTATTCTTTTATGAGAGACATGCAATTTCAGGGCCATTTCCCAAGTGTGTTGCCTTGGGTTAGACTCAACAAGCATCTTCAGAGCAT